GTGCAAAGAGGAGCTTTAAAACCTGACTTGATCCCTTCAAAGAGGTAACTTCAGTGTAAGCACTCACACATTTAATAAGCACCTTCTTTTAAGAATTTTGAATAAGTACGATTAAATACAGCACCATTTTAATAACTCAGAAAGCTCAAGTAAATGAAAACAGCCCGAACAGAGGCCGTTTCTCTATATTTGTACTTGTGCTTTCTCATGTAATCGTGTACTCGTGAAACGTCATCAGCCTCAGCCCTAGTACTGTACCAATTCACAAGAACAGCAGACGAGAACGGACAAAGTCCCCAGATGTTGTTCTTGTCTCTCCCTATTTACTGAGTATGACTTGCAGACTTGTCCGTTATTGAGATTTACAGCTGTCCTATCAAGCACCACGGCAGCAGCAGCTTTCAGGTTTGCGCTCAAAGAGCTCAGAGTATTAAGTTAAAAGTTCTCTTTTCTCTTGCCGTGGTTCAATAAAAGTACATTTTAAGATCATTTAAGCCAGGAAAATTATACTTCTAAGCATCACTATATGGCCCATGTACTGATTTAATGCATTATAAAAAAAAAAAATCAGAAGTTGAAAGGACCGCGGCAACCAACAGACCTCCGAGGGTAACAGCAGCCAGGTGTAATCCTAGCCCGTCTGCAGCAGCCCTCTCTCAGCATAGCCGTGTGTGAAGGACCCCTGGATCTGATGGCAAGTTTTTTTGTTTGATTTGGCAAAATGGTGATTTGATTTGTGTTTTTTCTGACTGTGTTCACCATTATTTCCCCCATGATTGAAAAAAGTAAGAATTTATTATTATCTAGAAACTATTAATAACAGGAGGTGAAATTCTCTGTTTATTCAAATATCTCTGCAAAAGGAGGGTGAATCTGACCTGACTGATAAACCACTTGCTGTACAATAAACAGACTACTACAAGTTAATACGATGATGTCTTTATTTCTAATAATCCAGGATTACAGAAATCTAACATCTATGCAAACAGTACACACTACTAGAAAATAAAACATGAGGTAGACTAAAATAATAATTTCAAAGAGTGGAAAAAGGGTCTAAGAGTCCATTTAGATGACTTATAAAGACTGTGCAAGGGAAGCCAAATGTTAAAACATTTATTAAATTCCGTTCAAAGCACCAGATATAACAAGCAATAATAGATACAATTAAAACAATGTGAATTCATTCAATTCAGTTCAGTTTAATAATATTGCACCAATTTACAACACATATCATCTCAAGGCACTTTAGAGATCACCAGATCATACAGTCAAATTGATTCAAAGTATTCTATCTAAGGAAAAACAGTTGATTGCATTGACTTGAAGGCAATCCCTCACACTAAGCATGTTTGTAGCAACAGTGGAGAGGAAAAACTCCCTTTTAACAGGAAGAAACCTCCAGCAGAACCAGGCTGTAAAAGGCGGCCTGGTCCAGGAAACTCACAGCCAGGCAGAAGAGCTCCGAGCCAGCATCCAGTCAGTCAGAGAAACAGGACTACACTGAAAAACAGACTGATCTCTAACATTTGTAAACAAAGGTGTTAATGATAGCAGCACAGCTGATATTTCTCTCCAGGATGGTGTCACAGCCAAACAGGAACAGAAGAGGTGAAGCTGCTATGAGAAAAAGCAGAGAGAGTAGAACGTTAGAGATTGAACTAATAGATTCTGCAGAGTGGGAGATTAGGGATAGAATGAAGCAGAATAATGAAAAAGGGGTCCCTGTGTCCCATTCAGCCTGTAATGGTAAAGGTTTACAAATGTATTAACAATATAGCATTGTAGCACCACAGCAAACCTACATTCAACTAACCTAGTAAATAAAGGGGGACGGGTGCTTTAATCCACAGTCAACAAAGGAGGATCAAGATGGCGGGCCCCCTACCATTCAGTCAAGGGAGGTGGAGCAAGAGGCTGGAAAAATACTGGGGTGTTGGACCACCAAATGGTGGACTTGATAAAGTGACTAAAGGGGGGGAGGGTTGGATATCAATGGAGGTATATCTTTACTTATGAACTCACGAAATGGCTGCTCCTATCATGTGAAGAGAGAAGGGGGTTACAGATCTCCAGACAATAGACCTTAAGACTCCGAAAAATGACCGCCCCTGCAATGTAACTGCCCAATGGTTTAAAGGGTCTACAATCCTGTTGAATGACCCAGAGGTGTGGTGAGTCCAGTTTTTGTTTCATAACTAAAAGGAAGACGATGTTATCTTTTCGGCCCAATGGGGAAGAGAAGTAACTATCTGGTCCACCTGGGGGGCTGTGTACGGGGAAGTGATTCTGGAACAAGATAGTAGTGTGTACCCCATTGGCAAGTGATATCTGCAAACCCTTCTAAAGGTTGGAGCTATAAACTGTAAAGTGCACAAAGGCTAAATACTGTAATTTATTTACCAACTTCCAAGTGCGGTTGTATGAGAACACAAGGCTATCGTGAACTGGAGAGACAATTCAGTAGGGTTGTATCGTGGCTGCTAATACAACTGACCCGTTTGATGAAAAAGGATGTGGCTTCAGGAAGAAGACAGCTAGCAGGTCAATGTATTCCGTTTGCCCAGCCAGGTGGATCTCACAGGGTCCCTATCTGAGGTAATACCCAATAGGTTCGGAGATCCAAGAACCCAGGTTGGTAAGATGTGCCACAGCTCCATAGGGGCGAGAGGAGGGAGGAGCTGAGCATAGATGTGACAACGACAATCCTCAGTTACTCTACTACACCAATCTCAGGACAAAGGAAACCAAAAACTCAAGATGAAAGAAACACATAGAAACACTCACAACCAGTCACACCACATTCATTCACAACATGAAACCAGGGCTCTTTTATAAACCCTTTTTAAATTGAATTGAAAATTTGGAGGCTTAAGTTAAATTCAACCTTTTTCATTAACTGTTCAGTTTTTTGTGCTTCTGGGTAACCCCTTTACTTTTTACGCTGAAGATGTGTTTGAAACCAGATACTTCTGGATATCTGTCAGTAGCTGTTGTAGCAAGAACAAGTTTTAATGTAGAAAGATCCAGACATCCATCTGAATGCAATTTGTTAAAGTAATGCTCCTTCAGGTCCCTTTCAGATGGTTTTAGTTTTAAAGATCAGCAATTATTTACAACCTTTTCTAAAAAAAAAATTAAAAAAAGGGAAGCAGAATAGAGGTAATATTCCCAAACGGAGCTCTCCCCCCCTTTTTTGGCCTCATTTAAGGAAAAAGTAGACACAAAAGCTTGCAGTAACAGATAATGAGAGGAGATATGTGTCCAAAGATTGAAACAATCCTCCTACACTGCAAAAATAGAAATCTCAATAAGTTATTTTTTTCTTAAAATAAGTGCATTTTTCCTTGAATTGAGGAGGTAAGTGAGACACTTTGCCAATGCAACAAGACGATGTCCTTTTAAAATAAGAAAAACAATGTTACTCTCTTATTTCAAGTGCATATTATCTAACTATCTTATTTTAAGAGTAAAAATACTCATGCCATTGGCAGATCATTTTATTTACCTGCTCAAATTAAGGGTAAATATACTTCATTTAAGATTTTTGTTACTTATTTCTGGATCGTTTTTGCAGTGTATAGGAGGAGAGACTCTGTTTAAGTAAACAGTCTGCTATTTGTCTGTTATAAACCAAAAATTGTTTTTTAAGCCCAAGCAGTGTTAACTGTTCACTGTGCAATCTGTCATATCCTGTGCCAGTAGGTCCAAATTAGGATAAAAATAAACATTTTTGCTAGTAAAAAAATGATTGAACTTTTATATAGCTGTAATTATAAAAAATATTACACCACAATAATGCAACCTGTTCACCATGGTTTAAGAACATGTGTACAATTGGATTGTTTACTGGTAGGAACAAGAAAAAAGAGAATGCAATGCATAGGTATTAAATTATTTTATAAATTGTGGGATTGTTAAAGTCACGTTCCTCACCCTATAGAGAAAAGTTGAACAGCAACTTTGCCCCAACATTACAGAGAGATAATTTTAGAAAGTGAAAATGCAGCAAGCAGAACTTATTGTCAAAGGGATGAAAGGTAAAGTTAGAAACATCAGAAAATCAGCTCAAACTCAAACTTGGATTTTTTTTCAGAAGGTGCAGTATCTAGAAATGGTCTAAGGCAGGGATTTTCAAACAGGGGTACTCATACCCCTAGTGGCCAGCGAAAGCATTAGAAGGAGTACATGAAACTAATTTCATTTCTTAGGCGGTAAAATAAAAGAGGGCTGGGATCTGTTTTGCTTTTTGATGACCCAACGGAAAAATTATAAAAAGCTTTTATCAAACAAAAAGCAAGTTTTTTTATATGTTTGAATACACCTTCAGCTTTGACACACATCAAAAACAAGACCACTCCAACTGAATGTAGAGAAAAGCCTGGGATCAGCTGTTTTTCACACTGAGCTATCGAGCTCATCAAAGCATCTCAGGGGTCTTGATCAGTTTGTCAGTTGGACTATAACTTTAGTTCTGTATTTTTGTTTCTAATTCATCAAGTTTGATGAGAGGAGCTCCAGCTTTATAAATGCAGGGTTAAAATACAATTTTATTTAGTATATATTTCAATTCCTTACTAACTTCCAGGCAATATATTTATGTTTTTTTTTTTTTTTGAGATGGAAAGCATATTATGCCAAAGCATTAAATGCTAAAATCAAAAGATTAAGTAAAATAGTTTTTTTTTTTTTTTTTTTTTTTTTTTTTTATCAGTTATTTTACGTTCAATCATCAATACTTTTACTGAGGGGGGGACTCATGGTAAGACAAAATGTCCAAAGGGGTACACAAGTCAAAAAAGGCTGGGAAACACTGGTCTAAGGTGTTGTGATCTCTTTTGAAGCAGTCAGCAAAGTCTTTAAAAGTAACTAAGAACAAAAAAAGCATAACAGGTTAACTAACTATAATTAATTTTCAGCAATTTCAAAAATATATGTACCAGCGGACATAATCATATATATATAAAGAAATTACATTCGGTGTGTAAAGAAAAAACTGCTGGAAGCGCCAAAAATTTTATTATAAAGGATATTTTTGAAACAGCCAAACAAACAGTAACCACAGTGAGTGATAGTGATTTAATCTCAAAAGACACTTTATGATTCAGGAAATCAAAGTCTTAAGTAAAACATTATCAATGAAGCTCATATCTTTTAAAATTAAAGCAAGATTTGCTAAATGGTCTAATCAAAACGGCGCCGTGCAGCCTTGTCCTCAAACAACCGCTTGAATAGCTGCTCTTCTGCTTGCTGCTCTGCAAGGTTCTCTTTCCCATCGATGAGCCTAACCAAGATAAAGAAGGTTCAATGTGCCATGATAATTCACTATAAACATATAAAGATGGTGGTCACATTTCAAAATCCCTAATAAGTGTGATAAAATTAATTATTTTTTGTAAAATGTCCATGATTACACAAAGAGCAGAAAATACAGTACTCACTTCTTTATACCATGAACTGCATGAGTGATTCCATGAATGAGCAGCCCAAAAAATCCCTCTCCAGGTTGAGCCATCATAACAACCATGGACAATACAAGAAACATCCAGGCACACTTCATCTTAGGAGAAAAAAGACAAAAATGGAAAACCTTTTCGTTGCAGTTCAAGACCTTTTAAAGTTTACCGATTACATTGATTCAGTAGTGTGAACTTACTTCAATTAAACAGTTGAATTTCAAACCTAAAATGTTGTATACTTGTTATCATTTTTATCACTAAAGTGCATTTTAAGTCTTTTAGTTTTGGATTTTGATCATTAAAGCTGTAGATGTCTGAATCAGAAGGCCTTTTCCCGCTTACATAAAAAAATAACTCCAGTCAGAAATGAATAATCAAAAAAAGAAATCCAGAGGCCTTCTAATACCATACTATAGACTACAGTAATTTGGTAAAACATTATCAGGGATATTTATTTTCAGTTATTACTTGGAGATAAATTTGACAAAGATTTAAAGTTCTTACCTTTAAACTGTATTACAGTCTGTCTTTTTGTAATAGAGATTTAAGTAGCAGGGCTATGAAGAGATCTGAGTGCCAGTAGTCGTGCACATCTTATATATCGGCCACAATAGTTGAGATTCGTGATTGTGCAACATTTTTACATATTACATAACTGGTCATTAGTAGAATCTCACAAGCAGGTCAGATAATTCCTCATCATTTGGCTAACAAAACATCCCCTCCCATGAGTTCAGTTTTTCAGTTTTATGATAGTATATCGAAAATAGTATACATATATATATATATATATATATATAAATGGTTACCTGTATTAACTTTAAAACAAATTATTCCAGAGGTCTTGCAAAATGTCATGGTGACAGTAAAATGGACTGATTTGTTTGCACCCATTTTGGAATGCATTGCAATTAAAATCTATAATGTTTTTGTTTTATTTTGCCCTGTATGTTGTAGCTGCTGTGTTTATGTTGTGTATTGAATAAATGACCTGCAAATGCATGCCTCATTGCGTTAATAGCTTATTTGCTGTGTTATTAGTTCCCCAAAACAGGGTGCGGGTGAAATCTAAATATAGACCAAAAACTCACCAAGTCGTTACTTGAAATCTTTAGAATTGAGCTCAGTAATTTAAAATGTGTGTGTGTGTTTATTTTATAGGTTCTAATGTACTTTTTGAGGTCCTAAAAATGTTTTCTTTTTTATTGGGTTTGGTCAAAATAAAACAAGATTGAGGCATCTAAGCACTCTTTCTTTTTTTGTGGGTCGCAGGTTAGTTGTTAATCTGAGATAACTTGTGAATATGATGTGAAACACGACATCGAGGCACGAATCCCTGTGGAATTTACAGTATAACTAAATTACAGTATGCCTCTCTAATCTAATGTAGGACTTTAAATATCATTAACATCATGGATGCTTTCTAATAGAAGAAGTTTATGTAGTAAAAGCTTTTTTTCACTCACTTTCGACATCTCTGTTGCTGCTGCTTTAACTGTCAATTACTCTAAAATATATATTTTTTAATTAACCTTCCCAAGTTTTACATGTGGTAAAATTTTCAAGAAGTGCACAGTGTTTATGTTAACAATTTTTGCTCTTACTCTACAGGATTTTGCCTAATAATTCTGCTTTTTATAAACTTTAAAAACATTTTATAGTAAATACCTGTCTTTTGCTTCTGTTGGACCAAAATTTCCCCCAGGACAGATATTGCCCCATCACTGGGTTACGAAAAAATATATTATGATTTTTTGCTATTTACCAAAATGATCAAAGCTCTGATTTGACAGTTTTCAACAGAAGCAGTTTTTATGCTATCTTGACATTGTATAAAACACAGAAATGTTTAATTTTTGGACTTGCTTGTAGGACTATACTTTCTAAATGTTTTCTAAGAAAGATTAACATATTCTTTATTTTTGTGTGAGATTGAAGGTATGAATGGAAATACACAGTTTTTCTTTTTTGTTTAATTTTTTGAAGATTCAGAAAGAAAAATGGTTAGCAGGCATTGTGTGTAAAGCTCTGAAATTTATTTTGGAACTTTCTATTTCACATTAGGCAGGAAAAACTGCATTGGGGTCAATATAAAGTTCTTTATTTTGAAGACAACTACATAGTTAAATATATTTTTCCAAGGGGGGCTTAGTCAATATATACTATCTTATAGAGAAAGAAAAGCTTGAAGTTTTTTTTAAGCTCTGGACAAATATAATCACAATGTTTTTGGTCAAACGTTATAAAGTTTTTCCAAGTACTGCTGCTCCTCATACTGAGGCTTCTTTTGGCCCACTTGTTACTGTTTTGCCTTTTTCACTGCATGTTCTTAATAGGGAAACGGCTGATACAGAACAATCTACTGCAGAGGAGTAGTTCTCAGCAATAACTATAAATAAATTACTTTATTTTTGTAATTAAATCTAGTGATTTTAAGACTGTTTCAAATGTCAAACAATTTTACTTTATTTCCAAATATTTCTTTTTGGGGGTCTAAACCCTGTCCTTGAAAGTTAAACAATGTTTTATCCTCTCTGACGGCTAATACTCACGTACCCATATGTAAAAACTTAGATAAAAAGAAGGGAAAAAGCTGTCTTGTGTTTAGCCATCCCAACTCAATCAATTACCCAACATTTTGGAATAGTTTTTTACTTGTTCCATGGTGCATTCATCTTGTTGCAATTAAATCATGGAAATTGAAAGACCCATTTTCTGCAGGAAGGGATGTTGGATTAATTTAAGTAACTATCAGCAGTCTGACATGGTTACAGCACGCTCAACTTTAAAATAACTCAACATTTTGTTCAGCTTTAAAGGTCATCACCCTTTTGAAATCTACAAATAAAGATTTCCTTACTTGCATGTAAATTAGTCCTTAGCTTTGCACTGATTCAGGATTAAATGGCTGTTTTGCATAGACATAATGGTGCTTTGTGTTGCAGAAAGTTGTGGGTACCAGCAGCTCTGTAGCTTTATGTATGAACAGAACTAGCAATATTTTATCAGTATGTGACATTTAGTAATATTGCATAAACAGGTTAACGGTAAATGTTGGTCATATTTTTTTATCATTGTTCTCATTGCCTTTGATTGTTATGTTAAAGGAAAAGAGGAGCAATTAGGCATGATTTTTTAATGTAATCTAATCAAAATCCATGCAAAAAACATTTTGCTTAATTTTTTTTTTTTGCCTTTTAGCCAATAAACAGCTTTTTTTATTAGCTGTTAAGTTTTTAACTTAGACATTCGTTCCAAGTTTCATTTTTGTTAGATTGTGAGCAGAAAAGATTTTTCACAAGTGTTTCTGGCAGCAGATAAAATTTCTACACAATAACATTGTTAACATCATCATCACTCTTTGATTACTTCAGCTTTTTAATTACCATTTCAAAACAAAAAACATATAAAGAAAGAATGTAATCTGTTCCAGTTAAACATGTTTCATATAAAACAGTTTGAATTGTATAGATTTAAATGGTCTACATTTTAATTAGAAGTGTTAAAACAGAATAGAATTTTATTATGAGGAACCGTCAGTTTATTTTAAATAAATCTTATTTCCCTTTAACCTGGTCATCTGTTTAAGAGATATATGAGTCAAAACTGTTTACTAAGTAATATCAAGCCCATTTATAGACCTTATTATTTATTTGATCAGAATTAATTACCAAAAAACCTTTAGTAAACAAACTCACAATGCATATATTTTTGATGAAGACTTGCCCTCGTTCAGACTTTATTTTGAAGAGGACATTCACCCTGCTGGGTTTCATATCAGCCCTTTGCTACTGAGACTTAATGTTACTCCAGCTGCTGCCGTCCTATTGCTCATCCAGTTGTTGCTGGTCTTTCTGCTGGTCCTCTTGCTAATCTTCCAGCTCATCCTCCTGAACCTTTTGCTCATCCTCTTGATCTTCGTCATCCTGCTTTTGCTGCTGCTTCTCTTCTTGGTCATTCTGATGATCCAGATGCTGATCATATGCTTCAGCCATTGCACGTTTCCTTTTATCGCTTAAGACACTGAAAGAAAAGCTGTAGATCAGCACAAACTGCGTGATTCTGCTAATAATCACCTATTAAGTAATCCAGTTTTTTTTAATGAAGGTTGTATTGTAATTGGTGTGGTTTTCTTGTATTCTGAAACGTTAAAGATCATAGCAATTCCCCTTCTTACCTGGCTCCTTAATGGAATCATAGAATATGCTATCTCCAGGTTGAGCTATCATAAACACCACATAAAACACGAGAAAAATCCCAACAAACTTCATGCTGATAGGAAGAAAGACAAAAAATAATTTACCGTAGTGACATACATGCTCATACCGGAGGTTTCATTTTAATCATTTTAGCAGCTTTAAACAGAACCTTTAACCAGTCTGTTAAAACCCCTGATTCTAGTAATTGCTCCGGTTCTTTAAGTCAGCGCTGTGGGAAATTTTTATTAACTCATTTATTTAAAGTGCAGACTCACAATGAGACACCTAAAACATGTTGAGTAGGGGTCCCTAAAGGGTAAGGAAGGGAACCACTAATCTTAAGCAGTAGATAAACTGAAAAGTCTGTAATGCATTTTGGTGCTAAGCCATTCAGTGATTTATAGACTAGCAGAAGTTTTCAAAGTCTATTCTCTGAAATACAAGAACCAAAATGATGTTGAAACATTTGTCCTTCAATCCTGGAGATATTACTCATGTGATAAAGGGCTGCTCCTCTAACTTTTAGTGAGGATGACAGCAGCAGAGTTTTGGATGAACTGCAAATTTCTAGACCTATGAAGACACCACTGGATGGTGGATTCATATTTTAACCAGAAAATGTATGTATTAAACTGTGCAAACACACATATCTAACTATATATATTTTCAGTTTATTTATTAACACAGCAAACACATTCACGCGCAAAGTTGCAAATGAAAGTTTTACATGAGCTGAAACCCCTGAAACAAATTTTTATTTTTTATTTTTGTGGTGAATCACTACAGGTCAAGTGATATGATTTTTCAACATGATGCAGCCTTATCTTAAGAAACACAGAAAATATCTGGTTAGCATGCATTCCTGAGTAAACACAGAAGACATTTTGCTATTGGACATAAATACAGTAATATTCTACACACAGGGTGCAAACAATTAATTCACCTCGAAAAAATAATCCAACAAAACCCTCATGTCAAAGGTTTGTTTTGAACAAAAACATGCTGCAGAGGAAGGTATCTTCTGCTTTTGGTTTAGATAAGTAGGGAGGACCACCACCCAAACAACGTGGCAGTATTTAATGCACTCCATAGTCCATGCTTGTATCTCTATGGTTATAATTATCTGGATTTTCATCAGAACAATACATTGGACTGAAGTTACATAACTTATTGTGAGGGACTGAGCCAAAAAAAGAATTAAAATCAGAGAAGCTCACAAGAAGCTTATAACTCACAAGAAAGCTATTAGTTCAAAGTAAACCATACAAGAAAAATGGGGCAAAATTAGTCAACTATATGTGTGCATCCAAATAGCTAACCAATGCCAATTCATAAGTAAAATATAATCAAAAAAGATTATGGCAAACAAATATAAAGTGCTAAATTTAAATAAAAATAATTACCAGAACATTTATGCTGCGTTCACACCGGGGGCAGCTGGC